TTTTAAAATTTTGCAGTCATTCTTGAAGTTTCTTTACACACACACACACACACACACACACACACGCACACACACACATATAAGCAATCACATTATATGCACAATAAACGTATAAACTGACATAAAATGTATCATATTTATATTGCATATATGATCCTATGTGTAATGGTGTATATATATGTGTATATATGAGGGAAGCAACTTGTTTAGCTTTTGTAACTCTGTTTTCCCAGCATGTGCACATAATTTAGATTCATATTCACAGAAATATATATGAGGTTCCCCACGTCAGGTATTACAAAAAAGAATTGAATACATTATCCCTCATGGACATATGGATTTACAACAAACTTAATAGACCTAGAATTACCCTTGTTGTATGAAACCTAGATTTGAATTCAAAGATATTATTAATACACTAGTTCAATGTCATAGAACAAACACAACTAAACTATACGATCAAGGCTGAAAATTGCCATCGATTTCTCAATTTATGCATCTAATGGCATAAAATGATTTTATTTAATGCCCTATGTAGAGAATTAAATGTGTCATGTGCTCTGGAACTCTTTATACATAAAAGTAATTTTTTGTCTCTTTATTCCATGCACATTCATGTATATGTACATGTATACATGCATTTATGCATGTATGTGTATGGATATAATGAATATTATACAAAATTTTTCAATTGTGTATAATGATCCTAAACCTTTTCTCTTCTAAAAAAATCCATGTTTATGGTTTAGTTGATAACATTAAATTCAGTATTTCAGACATATTCAATTTGATGTGTTTAGTCTGATTTTCTCTAATGTTTTTTAAGTCCTCTTGAAACTTTACACATCTGAACACCTTAAGATAAATTAAATCATCTTACCTTTTGTCTTTAAGAAATATTCACTGAAGGTGGTGGTACTCATTAGTTTATTTTTGTTTTACGTATTGGTTTTTGTAGGAGTACAAGTTTTCTGTTTCTAACAGATTTGTAGCTTTGAAAAATTGTGCAAGTGACATAAATGTATCAGCGAAGGCAGATGTCATCTGTGGTCAATTAATTCAACTAAGAGTAGAATGTG